TATTTCACTTTATTGTTCATCATAAATTGTGCAGATTAAAAATTTATTTTGTTATTCGGTTTTAGGTGGAGACCGCCCTTAGTACTAAGTTAACGGTATTAAGTATCACAACTTCACTTAAATAATTATTTTGTCAAATACTCGAGCAACTTTCATCATTACGAGTACAAAAATTTCTCTTCTTCTAAGTAAAAATACTTAAATCTTGTACAAGGAACACTGGACTTTAATAATAATAGTACAATTGAATGTTTATATGCCAAATTTAATTATTTCAATAATAAATATGCCGAACTCTATTAAGAGTTAACTTTTATTCTAGATAATAAAATGAGCAGCAAACAATTTTAGCAATCATACAAATTTTTTCTATTGTTATAAAACACATTTTTTGTCAATTTTTTCCTTATAAAATTTAATCGGTATTTACTTTTTACTTAAATTCTTTTTATTTGTAACTTCTCAAGTATATTTTATTTTTACTAGCTTACATCACAGTTATAACGAAAGGAAACGTTAAACACATTTCGTTAGCAAAAAATTTATTCAATGAACACAAAAAAAATCCATTATTTTTTTGTTGTTTTTTATTTTTTTTTTTTTAATATTTATTCCCTATTTTATTAATTTTATCAATACCCTTAATTGATATTCAATACACGTTTAAATACATGGGAATTCGATGAAGCCAACCCGAAATATAGGGTAAGTTACATTTTTACCATATTCTTAGAAAATTATATTGTGTTTAAAAAGCAAAAAAAACAAATATGATGTGATCGGCACATGACCGACTAAAAAATATTAAGAAATCTTTATTAATTCATTCTTAGACAAAAGAGTTGCATAAGATTGTTAAAAACGGTTAGTTTGGCATGAAAATGATGTATGATCAAGTTGCAGAGGGCGATGTAGTGTATGGGAAAAGCAATATTAAAACAAAATAACAAACTTTTCAGTTTCTTTTCTCTAAATTTCATAGTTAGGCATTTATTTCTTGAAAGAGTAACTCTGACACCAACCACAAACTCTATACCATTATGTAGGTGTATTAATTGAGAAAAAAAAAAATTGTAAACAACACTTGCTCTAAGTTTAACAGCTATTGATATCTGTCAGCAAGAAATCTTTCAGTCTGACTTGCTTTAATGTTCCAAAACTATTCCTACAAGTCTGAATTCATCCTCCACAAGACTAATTTAATCCAAAAGAACATCAAGGGATCACCTCCCGGAAGCTTTAGTAACAGTTTTGTGGAAACCTGTAATATCAGCAAAAATGTAAATTTCTGAATTAAAAGAGAGTACTGTTATTTGCATCTGATTTCTGTGATTTCTACAGAAGGAGGTTCTTCATATTCCCATATTTCAAAAGTTGATCAACCCAAGATATGAATGAATCTAGAATTTCGAAATCAGAAATGCACTGGCAGACACAAAAACAAAATTATAGACATTTTGCCAAAAAAATTGTTCATTTATGCAGTCCTTATGCAAGAAGAAATTAAATTCCATCGAAAACTCGACATTCGAAGTTTGGTACTATCACAAGACCTACCTGACTGTATACAATACGGTCGGTAAAAATCAAGAAATTTGTTAAATTAAATTTAAGGTTGTATATTGACGCAAAAATTGTAAGAACATAAGTAAACATAATTTGTGTCCGTAAAAAACGGAGCATATAACAGAATAAATTTATAAAAATAAAATAACAAAACTTTAATAACTTTTATACAAATTTATTTTCATTGTAAATTTCTATAATCATAATATCCAAGCAAAAAAAAAAATACCAGAGTATGAGAGAGTGCAAACTTTTGAAAAAAAAAAATATTATAATAATAAAAACAACTAAAATATGTAAAAAACCAATGATTTGTAAAAACACTAACAAAAAACTGAACATATAGAATTTAAAAAATATTATTCTCCCATCAAGGATAATGCCTAAACGATAATAAAATATATTAAAACACTCTTTTCTGCCTTGATATCCTTATACATGCCACCATAGATTATGTATACAACACAGAACAGGTAAAACCCCGTAATCGAAAGATAAAAGAACCGAAAATAATAATAACAGGAAAACTGCTTACTGGAAGTAATGCAATACACAATAATTTTTTCGAAGGAAAATGTTTTTCAAGTTAATGAAAATTAGATCTGAAAAACGTGTATGAAATAATTTTACATAAACTAAATAATAAAGATATTGAAAGGGATAATATTAGGGAGCCTATGGATAAATAGGAATAAAGGAGTTTTTATCCTTGAGAAATTTCTTTTTTATATATTTCGATAACAACATTAACGTATGCATAATCGATATAATAATTTCCATGTTTTACATTATATAATTTTGTTTCAGACAGATTTTTATAAGCAAAAAATACATTATATGTGATGTTTTACTATACCAATACTTATTACATAAATTTGGGCGCCAATTGATGACCTTCCAAGAAAAACATAAAAAATAATATAAAATATCTTGTTATAATATAAAAAGAAATCTTATATTTTCTTTAGACACACATGAAAAATAAAGGAATCAAGAAGCCTAAATTTAAATTAATTCATGAAAGCAAAAGAGTGTATATTTAAAATGCTTTTGCACGGCCTTGTATTTGTTTTTGGCATGTGTTCAGTAAAATTTAAGATGTTTTCATTGTATGTAATTGTATACGTCAATACAGTTTTAGGTAGACCGGAATCACTACCCTTCGAAAACAATTTTTAATAAGATGACAATAATACCAACTTTTAACACTGTTTGAATAATTATTTGAATCATTTTGTTCTAGGCAGGCAATATATTTTCATCTAGAATTACAATCATGGGACCATTACCTTTTTACATGAATGTTATAAAACAATTTTTGAATTATGTAAAATCTTTGGAATCGTAATATTGATTACATTCTTTGAATCCCTAATTTGACTGTTAGTTTAACTAAATATTTAATTATAATTACGTTAGTCTAAAAATTATCAAGAACTGAAATAATTCTGTCAAATATTTTTATTTTTTCGTTCTCCGTTCTACTCAATTTTCTGAAAAATTTGCAATTTATAAAGCAAAATTTTATTATTCTCATCTCAGTATTAAATTCAGATTAAAACTATTTCTAACGTAGAATACTAAATTATAAAACATAAAGGTTATCGGTTACTAAAATCCTTAATGAAGCTTTAATTCGCATTTTGATCAAAATTTTCTTGCTAGTAACTGATTAAATGCATTGTACCTGATAAACGTATGATTCGATTCAATTAGAATTTTATACTTTCAAGAAAGGTGGCGATTTTGTTATTCGAACTTCGGACCTGGCAAATGCGAATTGGGGGGCTCTTAACTGGTTTTCAAAAAGTTCTTAAGCTCTTATCTAATTTAAGTGTTATCGATTGCGTAACCTAATAAAACCTAATAAAACCTAGAAAAACCTATGCTAGTTTTGTTTAAAAAATATATTAAATAATTTTTTACTTAATTATGGTGTCATCACGTAGTATATTCGTCATGTTTAAGAATAATCAAAGAACTTTCTAACTATTTCATTTATACGAGTATGTGTGAATAATTGTGCAAAAGAGTTTTCTGGCAATCTTCCTATATGAAATTAATAGAATTCAAAGTATATTCAAAAATAAGATTACTAAAATCCTATTTTAAGTTACTAATTATTTTTCAGAAAAAACTTATTTAAAATTATTTAGATCTGTTTACATTGAGTTTTGTAATTTGTAAGTCAATTGATAAGCATCTAGCGATTGATATGCCTAAGTTATCATTTATATTGGGTATTATAAAAAATTTGGCACAAAGAAAATTGAATTTTATAATATTAATATAATTAATAGATTTGAATTTTAAAAATATTTTTATTATTTCTATAGCTATGGACTACAAAAGAAAAGGCAAATCTCTTATTGTCAGGATTAGTTGTCAAAAAGAAACATAAAGAAAACGCTAAGTTTCTAAGCTTTTAACCAAACGATAAGTTTTACAAGTAAAATACTTACATGTTTGTTATATTATTTAAATTTTTATTCAAACTTCTAAATTCAAATTTTAATTGAACTTCTTTATTTCAAATTCAACATTTTTATATAGTTTTGAATTCCGGAAATTTACTTTCTCATTCTCTTTGTCATTTCCTTGTTTCTCCGATAAAAGACTTTTATCATTTTAACCATTTTTAACATTTTTTATTTATTTATTTTATTTTTAATCATTTACAACACTATCTCATATGGAAATTATTTTTAATATTGAATCTCCAATATTAAGGGTGTACGGCAAGCTAGGCATCTACTTAATTAAAAATCTTTGACGTAATAAAACTGAGGCATGATTATCTATGGTATGATCCGTTAGCCCTATGTTCCTCCTAGTAGTGAAGAAACAAAAACAAATATTAAGGATATAAAATGCACAATATTATACGAAATATAATTTAATATTAAATTTCAAATTACGAAATAATGTTATAATATTTTGACTAAATAAGAAAATGGGCTATAGGGTCCAAAAAATTTTAAAAAAGAAAAACATTGGCTACCTTTGGCTCATTTAGTCCAAACGGGCAACACTGGTTAGCAGGCAATCATAATGCTACATCTACTAAAATGACAAACAACTTTCAAGGCACTCAATTAATTAGTATAATGACGATCGGTATTGACTAAACCGAATACATTGGATAGGCAGCCCAGATTAACGCAGTAAGAAGGAATAAAACGCATTTTTATAATTCTTAAATAATTTTATTTTCCATTTTTTTGTTTTCTTTGTTTTCAGTTATATTTACTTTTATCCCCCAAATGAATCCATTATTGATAAAGTAATTCTTTTATGGTTTTTCTTTTTTAATTAATTAAAGTTTTTTTTTTAATACTTAATTTTTTTTTCCATTTCTTTTTTTTATTTTTTTTTGTTTTTACACGATTAAAATAAAATTTTTTTTGCAAGGATACTTATAATTTATTTATTCATTTTTTTTTTCTTATTTTTGTATGATTTTTTTTATTTTTCATAAAACTAATTAAAAATTATGAGAAAATATTAAAGTGGCAGAATACGAGGTCAAAAGAAAAAGAGGAAGGCAGGAGGCAGGCTTTTACAGGAAAAACAAAAAAGAAAAAATATTATTTTTTTTTTTTTAATATGGAAGTGAGAAAATTTCGATAGGTGACTTAAATTTTAAATATATATATTTATTTTTCTTTTTCTTTTTTCTTTTTTTTTTAAATTAATTAAATTTTAACTTAATAATGGTTTTAATACATGTTTTTTTTTGTTTTGTTATTTTTTTATTTACTGTTATTTATTGATTTTAAATTGCTTTCAATTTTTTTTTCAATTTTTTATTTAATTTTTTATTTTATTTTTTCTTTTTGTATTATAAACTATGGCAGTCCTTAGAATGCTGTATTGCCATAAACGTGTATCTACAAAATAGTTATGATTGAATATTCCGTCCTTTTTTTTAGTTTTTTTTTTTTTTTAATTTTTTGTTCTTTGTTTTTAGCTTAGGATGATATTACATTGGTTATGATTTCATTTTTTTTTTTTCTTTTTTATTATTATTAAAATGGCGGTGAAATAATGTCAATTTTATATATTTAAATGGGGTGTGTATGTGTGTTTTATTTTGTTTTTTTCTAATGATTTAAAATGAATGTTCGATGATTGAATTAATTTTTTTTTTTATATTTAATTTTTTCTTTTTTTGTTTTATATTAGAATTTCATTGAATTTCTTTGAGTTATTCTTTTTGTTTTTGTTGTAGCTTTTTAAGAACGCTAAATAGTTGTTATTTTGTTGTTGTTTTTGTTCTTGTTGTTGTTATTTTTGTTGTTTATCAAAAAATTCAAAATCTAAATAAATAATGTACATACTCTTGTTTTATATAATTTGGTTATTTAGTGGTAGTGATAGTAAATATATTAATTTTTTTTTATAACAATTATTTTTAAAGAACTTCATTTTTTTTTAAATGAAAACAATAAAATGTCAAATTTGTTTGGTTATGTATGACATTTGAATTGTCAATATATTACATAATTTAATCTGTTGTGTTGTATCTTGTGTAAATGTATAGTATATTTATATTATATAAATTTTTGTGTGTGTTTTATTTTATTTCAATAAATAGTTTTTATTTAATCATTTATTTATTTATTTATTTTTTTATTTCTTTTAATTCATGTTGCTAAACAAAATATCACAGCAGAAAATTTTTCATAACTACATACATACATATTATGTATATGAATAGATTAATTAGTATGGCTAGGTATTATGGTGTTGTTTTCATTGTTTGTTAGTATTTTAACAGTGTTGCCATTTTGTAAAATTTTTATAGTAAATTTTTAGCAGCCTATATTATATTTTTGTAATATTAAGAAATATTAATTTTCAGAAAAGAAAAATATTAATTTACTTTTTTAATTTTACATTTTCTAATTTTCTATGTTTCATATACATAAATGTATATATATGTTTTAATAATATTTTTATTAGCGTTCTTATGCGAATTCTTTGTATTTTTTCTTTTTATTTAACAGTAAATTAAGTTGTTCTGTTTTTTTTTTCATTTCAAAAATATCAAATAAATATTTTAGAGATTTTTATAAAGATTTTTAATTTTATCGCTGGTTCATCTCGATCTTAAAGATTATTGAAGTTCTTTTTCAATTTGTCAAAATGTCAAATTTTGTTTTGATTTTTAAAATCTTTTTGAAATAATTGGTTATTGAAAGTGAAAAGTAAAAGTTTTGGAACACAATTTTGAAAAACGTTGTGGTTTTTATTTTATTATGGTTACTATTTTTATGTCTTTACATCTTTTTGCAAGAATATACTAGTGTATATAATATTATATCGTACATGAGTACATACGAATAATAAAATATTCAAACAGTCAGAGTTCGTTACAAGTAATCTAAGTTAATCATTATAGTTTTGTGATTCTAACTCGAATTAATAATTGAAAAATACTTATTATTTTGAATGTTTAATAAAAAATTTTATTATATGCAAAGTCGAAATTTTATAACACTTTAGAATTGAATTAATTTGATTTATTAACATATTTTTTGTTAATTCTTAAATTTTGAACTTGAAACATCGGGATTTCAAGTTCTTATCGGGAAGAATACGGACTAAAATTTGACGTTTGCCATTCTTAAATGCAAAATATTCTGGCAACAACAAAATATTTTCTTTATTAAAAATTTTTATCAAACAAAATATTTACATTTTTGTAGGACAATAAATATGCAATTTTGGGAATTTTACTTGTTTAAGGAAAACTTAATTGTTAAAATAATTTGAAAACCTTCGAAATTTCCGCAACAATGACGTTTTGTTTATGTCGCTGGATTCATTACTGTCAACGAACTCATAACTGTATATTTGTTATTAAATTTTATAATGATTACTCAGTTTTTATTGAAAATTAAAAAAAAAAAATTTAATAAATACCGAAAATTAGAGAAAAAGAAATTGAAAATTTTTTGAATGTATAGTTGTAGGCTTTCGGTTTTATTTTATATTTTTTCCAAGAAATCATTGGTGTTTTTAAATTTGAAATGTTTTTTGTTCTTTTCCTTATTTCATTTTTTATTTTTTAAATATTTATTTATTTATTTTTTTTGTTCTTTTATATAATTAGTTTTTAAAGTAAAAGCTTTGCTACAATTATCATTAAAAAGCTTGCAAATATTTGATAAGCACTATATGTTGTACGTGTTGCAAAACCAGTAAAGCTTCCAGTTACAATTAGATCTCCATTGTCCATAATCGGATGATCTAATACATGTATTATTCCATTAGTACATTCTACATCGGCACGGAATACCCCAATTTTCTTTAGATTCCATTTGATATAATAACCTGAAATAAGTTTTATAAAAGAAAATAAAAAAATAATGAAATAAAAAACACAAAGAAAAAAAATAAAATATTAATTTTTTTTTTTAAAAAAATTTTTTTTTTTTTTCTAATAAATTTATTAAAATGAAAATAATAAAATATTTAATTTGTAAATATGTTTAAGATTTATTGAAATAAAATTTAACATAAATAAGTAAATCGAAAATTTTTAATATGTTTAAAATAATTAAACATTCGATATGGTTTTCTTAATAATAAAATTTGAGTGTAGTAAATTTTATTTCTGAGACATGCAGTAAAGCTATTATTAAAAATATTTAATATTAAAAATTTGTATAAATTTGCTATTAACATTAAATTTTTGAGCGCAAACTAAATCTGCCTTATTATAGAAAAGTATGCCTTTTGAAAAAGCATGTGAAGAGAAGAAATTAGAAAATTTTTCATACTTCTTAAATAATAAAAGAAGTAAATTTGAACGAAATTTTTGGAAAAATAATTCTGAATAAAGTAAAAAAAAACGAAAGCCAAAAACTTAAATTAAAATTATTTTTGAAAATCAAAGTTTTCCCACAGTAAAGTCATTCATCTTGGCTAAAAGCTTTCAGAGAAATAAATGAAATTTTCTGAGTTTGTAAGAAAATACAAAAAGAAAGTTTGTGCTAATGCATTTATGGACATATACAAAATATTGAAATATTAAACATTTCGGACTCGGCGTTAAGAAAAATCCAAAATTTGAATATATTCGCAAATTTGAATAAAAAACAATTTCCTTACAACAACAAATCTAACTGGCATATTTCGAATCCTTAGGGTTAATAAATCAAAAATGACTGGAAGTAGGTGAAATAAATTTCAGGTTAGAGAAATTCATTTCTTAATTTGACTTTAAATTTTATGTAAATGGATAAAAAGAAAAGTGAACGGATAAAGATTAACAGAATTTAATAATTTTTTCTTGATTTTGCCTGAATACCTCAACTCCCCATACGCAATTAACTCTTTTTTTCATATATGAATGAGGAATATAATAAATATATGAACAGAATTTATTAATTTACATTAAATTAATAATTTCCAGCTAAATATACTTTCATATTACAATTAAGTTGATTAGTGCAGTGCATACTACAATTAAGTTGATTTGTACCGTAAAGTGTAGTGTAACACATAGCTAGATGTTAAGTCTAGTTAGTGCAAAATTACTTTAATTTATGGAGTAGTTTTACACTTATGATTAAAATTTTAATTTTCAAAACTTTAAAAATGTGATCCCCCGAAAAATGTATAATGATTGCTTTTAAAAAAAAATTTACCAAAAAGAATGCATTAATAAAATATGAGTTCTTTCAATGATCTATATTCCAAAGTCTATAGAAAAGAACAAAGAAAAAATACATAAATTAATAAAATTTGCAGTTCTTATAATTTTTGCCATTCATTTTAAATTTATCTAATAAATTCTTTACAAGACAACAAAATTTCTGCAAATTTATACAGTCATAACCTTATTGCAGTTTTTCGTAGTGAAAATTTATACTATAATTGAAAAAAAAAAGTAATTTTTCAATTTTATAAACGCTAGAAGACAGCACAAAAGCAATGAAATTGATTAAAGTAAAAACAAAGAAATAAAAGATTTTTGGCAAAACATTTTTAATTTTTGGCAAAAGTTAAACATTCACATAGAACCGCAGTACTGCAATACTATAGAAATTTAAAATAAAATTAAATCGTCTTTACTATACTCTAATAGTATTCAACAATATTGTAGTATTAACTTTAAAGGATCGCAAAGAATACTTCTTTTTTCAATTTAATTTCAATTTAAGCATCAATAAAGCTCTCAACATAAAACAAAAACAAAATAATTCATTTTTCTTTAAAGGATCTTTTCTCCTATAACGGTACATATTATTATGGTTGTACATTATACAGATATACATACACATAGACAAGTAATGTCTCAAAATCTTTAGTAATCTTTATCTTTTGATTTCATTTAATTTTCTTTAAAGAGACATCAGGCAACTAAAGATAGTAACAAAACGAAACAAAACCCAAAACGAAAAAAAAAACAAAGAGAAAAAATCCCCAATTTCATTTATAATAATTTTTTTTTTTTTTATTTGCGTTTCCCCATGAAAAATTTCTTTTATATCACCAATTTCTAAAAATTTCAATCCTATATATTGTACGAGAAAATTAAGGACCTCAAAACCATAAAATGGAATTTTCCTTTTTATATTTTTAAGAAAACAAAATTCCAAAAATGAACAAATAAGAAAAAAAAAATTTTTTTTTAATAATAAAATTTTTTTAAGGCAAAAGTCTACAGCAACATTAACAATAATAAATTACAGGTAAATAAATATACAAGGTAAAATTTGTATAAAAAAAAGAGAAAATACATAGGTACATAAAGGGAAAAGAAAATGATAAAAGAAGAAACACAAAGATAACAGAACAGAAGGGAAAACACAAAACAAAAAAAACAAAAAAAAATACAAACAATAAAAACAAAAACAAAAAGCAGTAGCGCTTTAAAAAACAATCATTTAACAATAATTTCAACATAATTAAAAATTAATGAAATATTTTTTCATTTTATAACTGAATTTTTTTTTTTGTGTCCATAATTTTATTCAAGTTATTTTTTAAAGGTTGAGTGAAATTTTTTTAAGTGAACTTTCAGTAAAAAAAAAAAAATTCAAAAAAATTCAAAAATACTTAAAATTTTAATTAATATTCGAAAGAATGCGTCGAATGTAAAAAATGCGAAACGCGGTACCTTCAAAATTTCGTACATAATTAAATTTTATTACAGTGTGATTACATTATTTAATTACAATTATACAAACATATAATTCTTGTAAATCTTCAAAATGTAATCAATGTGCTAAAATATGACAAATCAACTAATAAATTACATAATTTGATTTTGACATATTCATAACAATGACATTAACATTGACATAAATGTGTTGAAATTATAACCGACATGAAAATACATTATTGTCATTAGGGCTGACATGTTAACACTAAACTCAAAAATTTATGTCAGAAGGCATTACTAGAATTCAGTTTACGACTTGAAATTTCCAAATACTTGTAATAGCAATACAGGATTTTTATACAGTTTACTGTAGCAACACAGTATTTTTAAAATTTCAAAGTCAGGTTATGTTAAGAGTTAACATAAATCTTACAAAAATAATCGAATCATACGATGATTTTTAATAATTTTCGCATTTTTTTAACAAATCTCGCATACTTTCTACCAATAAGATTTATTAAAGCTTTATAATTGTTATACATATTGGTCTAATTATATTAAAAAAAATTAAATTTTGAAAAATAATTTTATTTAATAAATTCATAATTATTTCTAATATAAAAGAAATCATATAGTAATTCAATTAAAAATTTTCAAAATAGTTACTAAAGTGTAGAATTTAAGCAATTATTATAAAATAACTATAAAAATTAAATTAAACACAGGTATTAATTAAGATGGCGTATGTAGGGGGTGTACCAATTGGTTAATTAAAAGCAAATTGAATTTTGTAAATAAAATGTTTTAAAAAAAAGCATAAATATGAAAAAGACTCTATACAATTTGTGTGTATAGAGTTTTTTCTATACGAATTACTCTACGATTTTAAAAGCAGAACGAAATTATACAATGTAAATACGCAAATTTTTCAATCCTCAATAATTTTAAATACAAAATAACTTTTTACTTAAAATTGTGATCGTTTCAATAGTCTTAATGTTCTGCCATGAAACATGCTTGTTTATACTATTCTAATATCTTGGTCATCACTTTTATTTCTTCAATGTTATTTTATTTAAGAAAAAACGAGAAAAAAAATAGAGTTGACCTTGTCAACTCTGTGATACCCGTACGAATTTGTTATCCTATGTGCAAATAAAGATGCCATAACTTACTAAGGGACACATTAATTTATGCAAAATTTCAATACTGTCTGTTTTTCAAAATACTGTGTGTGCCAAACTACTATTTAAGTTGTATGGCAGCTACCAGAAAAAGCTAAGAAATTTTAACAAATTTTATCAAAAACATTGGCCCTAGTAATATATTCGCTTGTGTGAAATTTCAATACCATAGCTTTTATAGTTTCTAAGATATAGCCAAATAACTTTTGAAGTTGTGTGGCAGCTACCCGAACCGGTACCCCGATCATGTCCAATTTAAATAGGGTTCTGGCACTTACTACAATAAATCATTTGTGAAAATTTGGTGAACTTAGCTCAATTAGTTTTTGAGTTATCGTTCGGACGGACGGACGGACAGACAAAGCTAAATCAACTCAGAATTTGACGCTGATCAAAAACATACACTTGAGTCTATATCTAAGACCGTTATTTCTCAGCGTTACAAACGGTAAGGCAAATTTAGTATACCCTTCGAACATACGTTCGTACGGGTATAAAAACTTGTAACAAATCTCAGATTAAAATTAATTTTCATTCAAATATTAAAAATATTTAAATGCCAAACATGCTTTCGAATCGTAAAGTATTTCGCAATAATAAGAATAATTATAAATTTTCAAACTAGAAAAATTTCGAATTTAAAAAATAAATTTTGCTACAATATGAAAATTTTTTAACCCATAAATGCATGCTAAGACCAAATTTGAAAATAAATTAAAACTCTGTGCTCTTGTGACCGTATGAAATCTGATTTTAAATTTGCATGCATGTAAGGGTTAAATTTACTTTTTTTGGAATCTTTAGAATGTAGGCATAATTTTGTTTGTGGTTATAAAAATTTCACTCAATCTTGTTTTATTATTTTTAATTTTTTTTTGGAAGGAAAATACTACCAAACAACAAAATTAATTTACAAATAGATACAAAAAAAAAACAAGGAGAATTAAATTTTTATTTAAATTTTAGCTAATTTTTTTCACAAATTTATATTTAATTTTTTTTGGTTTTTTTTTAATTTATAATTTAAATTTAAAATTTTCTTTTTTTTTTGCATTTATTTTTTAACTCACCAGGCACTTTTATTTTTTTATATTCATTGGAGAAAGCTTTTTTTTTTGATATTTTTTTAAATTTTTTTTAATTGTTTTTGTTTTTTTTTCAAAATATTTTTAATGAATGAAATGTTTAACGTTTACGTATTTGTATTGGGCCGGCGATAATTTTTAATAACAATAACAACAGTTACGAGAAAATGAGAGTTTTAAAAAAGAAAAAGAAAGAAGAAAAAAATAATTTTTTTTTTTTATATGAAAATTTTTATTTATTTAATTAATATTAAAAATATTATATTTCATTGTATATGTGATAAAAAGGATCAAAACAAGTTGAAAAAACAAAAGTAGAAAATACAAAAACAACAGAATAAGAATAAAAAATCAATTTTACCCAAAAAACAAAAATAGAGAATAAAAAAATATAACAATTTCGGATATAACAAAAAAAAATCAACAGTAAAAACAAAATGAAAATAAAAAACTCAAAAATGATGAGATGAGAGTGAAAAAAAAAATTCTTACGCTCATTTTAACTCACACAAATACGAAATGAAACTTTTAATAATAATTTTGTTTTTCAAATTAATAAAATTAATAAAGGTAAAACAATTCGTAATTGAAAGCGTCATTATTACAAATTTAATTGAAATTCGCGACATTATTAAAACTTTTGACAAGTTATTTTTGCTTTCATTATTTTTGAGTTCGAAATTATGCCACGAAATTATTGTGTGATCATTTTGCGTAACACTGAATTGGGTTTTCAATATTTTTATAAATTTTTAATAAACTGTAGTCTTATTCGTGGGAAGGTTTTCGTTTTTGCATTAAAAATGGCTTCTGATTTCACCTTTTGTGACTTTTTTGTGCGGAGCTCAAACAAAATAGTCGAAGCAAATTTCTTCCAAAAGCTAAATAAAAAATCCTGTCCCAATCCGGGAATTATAAGAGCACTGGTATTAATAGTTACTTGTAAATAACCACAGAAATGAAAGGGTTAAATTTTTTTTTTTCAAAATTGTAACAATTTTATTATCTTTTTGTTTTCTTTTTTTTCCAAAATAAATTTAAAAATTATTTTTTATATTTTGGAAAGACATATACTACAATATTCATCATAATCTGTTCATCATAAATTAAAATATACCGGAACATCAAATTCATCAAGATCTTGTGATTTGAAGTGGAAATAAAAAAATATAAAATCTAATAAAAAGTAAACCAATAATTAACCAATACCGAATTTTTTTCCAATCTGGCCTAATAAAATTTTAATTAATCTGAAAAATAAAGCTGTCACAATTTTTTTTATTCGTATTCATGCGAGTACCTCATAATTGTCAAATATACTCATTTATAAAAGAAAAATAATTTCGGATTATATTGGGAAAATGCTTCAAAATAATCAACATTAAATAAGTATAAAAATCCGTACAAAATTACAAATGAAAGAAAAAATATACAAAAATAAAAGAAAAAAATGAAATAAAAACCAGTTTTATTTTTAAGTTTTTTTTTTTCCATTTTCATTTTCATTTGTAACCTATACATTATTATATGCTACTTACAAGCAAAATATATATAATATACTTTCCAGAAATATAATTTTAATGAAATGAGAAGGATACATTTTGTAAAATTATAAAAATAAACAGAAACGGAAATACGAAATGATGAAAATTGAAAGGAAATACGAAAAAAAAACCAAAATAAAACTGATTTTAAGAAAATAAAATAACGGTATAATTCTAGGGATAATGAAATCCTTAAAATAATAATGAGTTTTTTGTACAATCTTTTTTTATTCAATAAAATGAAAACAAGAAAAAAAAATCGAATACAATAATATTGTGATAAAAAGGAAGAAAATAATTTAAGAATGAGCATGAATGAAACAAAAAACAAAAAAAAATGAAAAAGAAAAACAACTCAACAATGGAAAAACACTACTTTTTCAAAATCGAACCAAAATTATTGTTTATACTTAATTTATATTTAGAGAGACTATATAAAAAGGTACTTGATTAACACAAATAAAAGAAACAAACCAAAAATATCTTTTCTTTTGTTATTATTATAAAAATAAAAATTGTTTTTTGTTTTTTAATTATATATTAAATAAGTATATAAGTATATGAATATATGTTAACACAATATACACATATATATACTTGTACAAACATATATAAATTAGTATACTTACGACCAAGTTCTTCATAAATTCCAAGTTTAAGGGAATCTCTTTGGGTTGGCAACACCGTAGGACCTTCTCTTTTTGTTATTTCAGCAAGATCTTTCATTTTATATATTCTATCAGAAATGACTAGATGACGTTCTAAAAGTTGAGTTGACTAAATGAAATGGAAAAATAAAATTTATAATTTTTGTTGAAATAATTGTACAATATTTTATATAAAGAATGATTCCTTAATTTATTTGATATATAACAAAGAACTGTCCACCAGTTGGCCATTAAAGTATGTACATAAGAAGATATTTTTGAATAAAGGAAAATTGATGGGAGAAACTTGAATTTTTCGCGATGTCTTTCTAAACAAAGTAATCAAGACTCATCTAACTAGGTCTGACATTTTCTCTTCTTCTGTTTTGATGGAAATTAAATAATTTCTAAAATTTTGCTTTCATTTCACATAGAATTTTGGCATAATATAAAGTAAATAACTATATTTCTGTAATATAGTACAAGTGTTTAAGAGAACATTTGTTAAATTTTTATTTTCGAAAAGATGGCCGAAAGTCAAATACGATTAGAAACCCCACACTCTACACAAACTTCTTCCATTTTAAAACCTCTAATCGGGTGAAACACGTGTTTTATTTTGTTTTAACATACTTAATTTGATTATTCGAATTATTTTATTAATTTGATCTGAATTTATTGCATACTTCAGGGATAAATGTTTTTATAATTTTTCAATAAAACAGTTCGTTTTTTAATGCGATAAGCTACTCGGTCGGATTTTTATACCACATATTCTTTAAACGCCTTTTTTTAAGTTTTATATTCTTGCAATAACTTAAATATTACAATTATTAAGAATACAAATTAAACTATTCTATTAAACTCGCACTTAACAATGCTGATCCCATATAATTTAATTGTATTTGTCATTAAACTTAATTTTATTGAAATACTTAACAAAAAGAAATTATTTTATTGTTTACTTACATGATATCTAAATTCTGGCATAAATATTTTTTTATATTTTGATGGTTGTTCATTTCTCAAATATTCCCAACCTTTATCACGTGTAACAAAATAAGTGTAACGTTTAGTTGTATCACCCAATTGTTTATTGAAATCAGAAAATGTTCCAATTGTATAAGTTCCACTATATTTGATAAGAAATAAAAATTAAATTGAAAAATTCAAGAATTTAGTAAATTTAACAGGAAAAAGAAAACAAAATATTTTTCTTACTTTAACATTGGATCCTCTTTTAGTTTTCCTAAAACTGTGGTATATGGTACACCTAAAACTTTATCGATTATATGTACATAACCATTTGTTTGTGCGATATCGGTTTGAATTAAAGTTGCATTAACACCTTTACCCTCAACGGTGATCGTATCACCCAAAATATTGAAATACAATGCTGTTCGATTATTTAAAGTCGGTAATAACGTAATCTAGTTTGAGTATAATAAAAATTTATTTTAAATTTCATAAGACTTTTAAATATAAAATACGAAAAATTTTGATTCTCAACAAGATATAGAATTTTTAAATTACAAAATCCGGAAACTTACTCGATTTTCATTTCTTGCTTTAATAGTTGCAATATCAACTCTGTCTCTAATTACGTGCATATTCAAAATATCCTTCATTTTCTCTCGATTTCTTTTTTCGCATTTAAATTATTTAGAAAAAAAACAAATATTTTTATTTATTATTTATTTTAATTTATTACAGAAAATTAATTTATGCATATATACATGAAAATTTAATAAATTAATTTTTATTTACTGACCTAATTACATTGTTAATATTAGCATTATCCCATGCTTCATTACTAGGTGCCAATATTGTTACATTTGGTAAACTTGCAATTTCACCAAGAACTTCACCACCAATATCCATAATTGTTTCATAGAATTTATGTAAGGCTCCATTCTCTTCATCCTTAAATATTGTTATCATTAGAATTCATAAAATTAATTTTATGCGAAAAATTATCATAAATTTAATTATTTTTTATACGAAAACAAACAAATAAATTAAAACAAAAACAAAATGTAAATTTAGTAAATAAATTAAAAATTTCTTGACAATAAAATTATAAATTTTGAAAAATTTTTTTTTTTCTTCTTTTGTTCTTATAATATAATATAAAACATAAACAAAAACAATAAAAATTCAAATTAAAAAATGTTAGTTTGTTTTTTTGGCGTGCAAAATTTTTTTCTTTTCAACATAATTTTTAATTTAAACAAAAACAAGGAACGAATATTAATTTTTAATTATGATGATGAATTTTCTTAAACAAGTTAAAGATTTGAGTAAATAATGATTAATTCAGTTGTAAGTCATAATTTTTTGTAAGTTGAACTAAAAATATTTTCCTTTATAATTCCCTCAGGGAAATTCATAATGACTCAGAATTTATAAAAACCGGAATTTTTCCAAAAAATTCTTGGAACAATTCAAAATATAATTTTTAATAATTTACGGAAACCAAATGCATTTTTCAAACCGAAACCAAATGCATTGAAAGTGTTGGTGAATAATGAAGAACCTTAAATAATAGCGTTTAGAGAAATTTTGTGAATGTTTTATATTTGAAAATGTTTTCATTAATTTTGAAATCGAGTAATCGTACAACAAATATAGGAGCTATGTATTGTTTCATATCTCAAAGAATTTCAAAAAATGTTTGATTTTGTTAAGTAAAACTGATTCGAATGAAATTTGATGAAGTAAGAGGCGTTCATACAAAGAAGGAAATTTTTAAAAAATCGTATAATATTAATAACCTCTTAGTAAATCGTAATTATAAAAATACGAGCTCTGTATAGAAATATCTCAATTCTAATTTCAAACATATACAAAATATTTATTTATTTTCAAAATTTTATAGTTTTTTTCTTTACATCTAATTTTTTTCATATACAACTTTATATGTATACATCTAATAATTTCACAATAATTATTTGATGTATATGAACACAATAGGAGAGAATTATGATAAATGAGAAAATTTTATTTTCTACTGTTTCCCGTTCGAGTAAATTTCAGTGAGATAAAAATTTTCTCAATTGCTACGACGAACTTTACAAATCAATTTTTACATCAGATCAAACACAGTTTGTATGAACAAAATTTGATTATTCGAAATTTTATGAAAATTTAATAAATTTAACTTTCTCAGAGAATAAAATTTTTAATAATAATAAAACGAGAAGAATTTGTTATAATTTAATTATTTGCGTATATACAACGTAACATAAAGACCCAGTAAACTTATAACTCAGAAACTTATTTTTTATTTTTTCAATTGAAAATGAATAATGAAATTTAATTAAATTTACAATAATTTTTGCCAATATTGTAATCGAATTTTTAATTAATAATTATTATGTGCTTCTATAATTTCATAATTGAATTGAATTCGAAAAATAAAAACAATATTTTTTATTTCTTTTCTATTATAATAACATAATAAAATTTCAATTACATAATTAACAATTTAACAAGAAATTATCGAAAAAGGAACCAAATTATATTAATTATTAATTACAGAAATAAATTAAAAAAAGAAATATATATATATATATATATATACGTTTTCTACCAATGTTTTCAAAACATTTTCACAATTTTCAACTTTTATATACAAATATATTTATATATTTTATTTATATTTATAAATTTAATTATAAAATCTATTTTTTTTTATAATTATATTTCCATTAACATTAAAAATACTTACATCAATCTAGTTTTTAGTTTTAATTTTTTATAATTATATAAATTTTTTTTAAGTGTTTAAACGAATTCGTAAATTGGTCGAATTTTTCGAAGATTTTTTTTTAACATTTTCGAAGTTTTAAGTTAAAAAACAAACAATGATATTCGAAAGAAACATAATAAGAGATCAAGAAAAGAAATATAATATTAATTATTAATATTTTAATTTCTTTTAATCATTATTAAATTATTTATATAATTTTTTTTTTTTTTTGAAAAAACATTTAGCAAAAAAAATATCTGAAATAATCAAGCACTCAATTAAATAAAACATCCTAAAGAAAACGTTAATGAATTGGATGATTTTTTGAAAAACGAAAAAAAAAGAACAATACAAAGGCTGATTTGTTTTGAATTAAAAAATTAATAAATCTATATATTTTTTAAATTCTGATTTTGTTTTAATTCTAAATAATAATATAGCATAGTCACTAATTATGATGTCAGTACAAAGATTATGGTAATAGTATGTTGTTGTTTATTATTAAATGTTAATAATCATAATGTAGAAACTAAGAACAAAAACAATATACAGAGGTCGAATTGAAAAGATGAAATTTTGTAATATTGAAAAGATTGTCATGTAAGTGTAGAAAATAATATTAAAGAGAACACATTGAACAATTTTTCTCTCACTAAAAATAAAAATTTTTCCAACATTTTAAAATATGATCGCGCAGTTTTTCAGTATGAAATACTTGATAGTTTGATACTTACTGTATGAAATACTTTAAGGAGCAGTTTTACAGTGGATTTTTGATTGTTGCATGGAAAATTATAACAATGTTTTCTAAGTTGTTAATGGAGACCAACGAAAAATTTAAGCTTACAAATTTTACAGTCTGATCGTGTTTATCGCTTTTTTACTCACTTTTTATTCACTTTCAAATCAGAATTTTTAGTATTTTCAGATGGATGTTTCACTTTTCCAATAACTCATTTTATTGTAAATTTGATGTTTTCATAATATCGATTGACCGTCTCACTTTCAAAAACAAAATGAATAAATTTTGTATGCATTTTAGAAAAAAACGAGATACGCAATACTAAATAATTCTTCTCATTCGAAAATTACATTTTTCAAGTACATGATAGTTACTCACTTTCTTCTCACTTTCCGAGTAAAATAGCGAAATAGATGATCAGCCCCTTAATGTTATTATTTTCTCATTATATAAAATTTTAAATTATTTTCAGTGAGGAGAAAAGCTTGTAATATTTTTTTTTGTATATATATGTGTTCCCTTGCATATTATTGTTTACACCGTAGAATAGTTTAGTTTTTAGTAAAAAGAAAACATCTAATTTAAAAAATCAAAAAACAAAAATCCTATGATATCTAATTATATAAGAGTGAAATACGATTACTTTTAAATAAATAATTAAAAGTATCACAGGAGACAAACCTATTGGGCTAAATATGAAACCTTTTGAAGTTTATACAAATTCTATGACACAATACAAATTTTCTAAAAAAGTTGGAAAAAATATTAATACAATTAATATTTTTGATAAAAATTTAAAATTAATTGCGCTCATTTGATAAGCAATTTGTCACATTTTCACTTAACTTTAGATAATTAGCAAGGAAACTTGTTATCAGAACCACGTGTATTACCAAAACCAATGTTTGACCGTCTGATTAATATGTTTGTAAATATTACAATCACTTTTAACAACTTATTGCTAAAATTAGCAAGGTTCTATTCAAATGATTGCTTCTCTTTTAATTTTAATGAAACAAAAGACTCTTTCTTTTGCTTATAAAAGAGCGAATTTAAAACTTATATGTAGCTCTACTCCAATTGCCTTTTTATCTACATTTCAATATTGCTTTGTAATTTTGTTACCTCAATTAATTCATTTCGTTTAGAAATAAAATTAACAAAATTAAAAACCATTTATGCTTTCTTTTCATATTTCTCTTATAATATTGAATTATGAGAATTGCAATTGCAAAATGATGTTATTTTTAACTTTACAAGTAAACTTACACTTGCAACCAGCTTACAGGCGAAAATCTATCACTTTTATAATACAATCTACTCAAATTTTTACTACTTAATAATTTTTTTTACTTCTCCTAAATATATGCAATTTTATTTAAGAATTCATTTCGTTCTATTTTAAACATGGAACTAAATAATTTTCTTTCACGCATGTTGTAAATGGCTTTTATACCCTGCACTTCGTGAAAAGTATATTAATTTTGGTATGGAGTTTGTAACTACTTGAAGGAGTCATCTGCGGTATGGACATATATATATATTCTTGCTCAGCGTAAAATTCTGCGTCGATTTAGACATGTCCGTCCGTCCGACCGTCCGTCCATCCGCCCGTTCGTTCGTCCGTCCGTACGATCGCACGATAACTCAAAAACGAATAATGCAATCGACACCAAACTTTCACAAGTTTTTTCTTTTGTGCCAAGGACGAACCCTATTGTTATTAGACTAAGTCGGACAACGGGTCAGGGGAGCTGCCATACGACTCAAAGAGTTTATTTTAAATATTTCAAAAACTAATAAAGCTATAAATATAAAATTTTGTATACATGTGTCCAATTATATTCTACACATGCTCTAAAAATTATAATGGGATATCTGCACCAGTTCGGGTGGCTGCCTTACAACTCTAACAGTAAATTTTTTATGTTCGGCAAAATAATAAAGTCAGATTCATGAAACTTGGCAGTCATGTGTCCAATTATAGATCAAATATATTTCTGAAGTTTTAGAGGAATTGCTTGACAGGTTCGGCTACCTGCCATACAACTCCAGAAGCTAATTTTAAATACTTGGAAAAATAATAAAGTCAGATTCATGAAACTTGACAGTTGTGTGTCGAGTTATAGGTCAGATATATTTCTGAAGTTTTGGTGGAATTGCTTGACAGGTTCGAGTAGCTCCCATACAAGTCCAAAAGCTTATTTTACATATTTGGAAAAATAACAAAGTCAGATTCATGAAACTTGGCAGTTGTGTGCCCGATTATAGATCAGATATTATTGACAAGTTTTGATGGAATTACTTGTCAGGTTCAGGTACTTGACATACAACTCCAAAAGCTAATTTTAAATATTTGGAAAAATTATAAAGTCAGATTCATGAAACTTGGCAGTCAGGTGTCCAATTATAGGTTAGACATGTCCGTGAAGTTTCTATTGAATGATTTCACAGGTTTGAGTGATTGCTACACAATAACGAAAGGACCCTGCACCTAACTCAATCGGTTTATACCGACTGAAACGTTTTTACTTGTTTGTATTTATTTTTAAGTGGTTAGAAGCAAAAACTTTTTAAGTCGTACTGCGTAATATAATTTTATATTGCACTTCAATTTTGAATTTTTTATAATTTAATGAAGTGTAAATAATGAAGAAAAATATAAAAGATAGCAATTTTCTTCAAATAAATTTCATATTTCCTTTGCAAATCGAGAATATCGTAACAAGAGTTTGGCAATTTATTGAAAATTTTATTCACGTATATATTCTGCTCAATTTTTGATCACAGTCCACTTATCTGATTCGGAAGTTAATTTAGGTAAATTACAACAGCTTCAGTTTTTTTTTAGTTTTTAACTAAAATATAAATTTCAAATATGATTTACTTGCAAAATATTTGTTTTATTTAACAAGTTTTTACTTAAAACCACAGATTAATTAAAATATAAGTTGCACAAGAAAAATATGAAATTTAAAGTTTTTGAATTCAGTGTTTTTGTTAGCTTAATTTTTAATTAAAACTAAATGTTTAACTTTTTATGAATATTTTGTGTTTAAGAATTACATCAATGTACAATTATTAATAATTTTAATAATATAATGCATATTAAAATTATGTTAAATATAAATTTTATATAATATTAATTTAGCGTTTTGTATTAAAATATGCGTGAAATAATGAAAATGTTTTGTGCATTTATTTCTTTTTTATACAATTATATAATAAATTTATAAAGATCAAAGAATAATTAGATGCAATTACTGAAACTATATATAGAGACTGAATGATATAAGCTAGAATGCTATAAAGCTGATTAGTCAACGAAAAAAAAATAAATTCGAAATTTTTATCCAAAAGTTGAAAAAAAAAATGAATCATGCAAATTTTGAATTCAGTATGATTTTAATTAATGAAAATGGAATATAAAAGATGAACTATTTCTAAACTAAATGAAATTTTTAGCAATGGATTTTTTTTATTTGTCATTTTTTTTGCATTTAATGAGCCTGTGGTATATATTAAACACCAACATGCCATTCTATTCCATTTTATAAAGCATTTTTAAGCTATTTACTAAATACATACATTTTTCTATTTCAAGTATAAATAATATCTATGCATTTTACATTATACAACAACAGCGTGTATTTATGTATGTTACGGGAGAAAATAACATTGCATTCAGAGTTAAATGAAGAGGAATAAAGCAAAGCTTCAAAACAATTTTGCATTTCAATTATGTTAAAACGAATGAATGAATGAATGGATGCATATGAATTTTTAATCAATATTAAAATGCATAATTATTTATTTATTAATTAAAAAATATCCTTTGATAATATAATTTTTTATTACTTTACCTTGAATGACTGGTAATGTTAACCATTAAATGAAAACACCCCCAATTTTTAGTTTTTATTTATAGTTTTTTTTTTTAATGTAAAAGGTATAGGAGGAAAAAGTTTTTAATAGTTCCGTTTTCCAAGTTTTATAGATTTCATTTTTTTTTTTAAGATGCGATGGTTTTTTTTTGTAAGTTTATTTAAGGTTAATATTTGTGTTTTATGTGTAGAAAAAACAAGAAATGAAATAGAAAGTAAATAAAAAAATTAATATTAGTTATTAATTATCAGAGTTTTTTTCTTTTCAATTATTTTATATGTTGATATAAATATATTTACAAAAAATAATTTTTCAATTTTAAATTCAAAGTTGAAAAAGAATGCTCTCGAAATTTCAATAAAGTAATTAAGAAATATCATTAAATTTTTACTTTAAATTAAAAAGTTCTTTGCTATAAATTATATTCAGAATAATAAATGTTGAATATTTCTTTAATTTAACGTAGTCATCAATTTGTATAATATTAAAATAAATCCTACAAATTCAGATTTTTTAATTAAATTTTATTTTTTCACTAATCACTCATTTTTCTAATTGATATGATTATACTACACGCCTATAGTAAAACATTGCCAGATAAAAAATATTTGCGTTATAAGATTGTTGTAAAATTGAAATAGACGGAAGTCGAAAATTTTCAAAACCGAATGTATCGTGTTTTTTGCCAATTTTAATTGTAGCGATCATATCCTATGAAAAACTCACAATTATATATTTATTATAATTATGCCACTTGCATGTTAGATATCTTCATTTTTTCAATGAGATTAAGATATCTGCATAAATATTAATCAAACTTCTATTAAAAAAACATTAATTTTAATTAACGATAATTTATTGAATTAATAAACGAAAACCGTAAATAAATACCATTTAATAAATTGAAGTTTTCGTTTAAATGCAGTAAATTCTATATAATAACTAATTTAAAAAAAATTTCTTTATGAATTTTACAGAAAATGTAAAATCACACCAAGCGAGTATTTTTTATTACAATTCTAACATAACCATATTATGTAAACGCCACAGAAATCAGAATTTTAATTATCAGGTAGGCATGTTAAAATATTGTGTATCTTCTACAGAAATTATTTTTGGCGATATTTTCCTTTTTACGGTAGCTGAAATCTTTTCTAAATCAAAATATAAAATAGCCTTTCTCTCGAAAAGATGTTAAATCTTGAATATTTTTAATCGAATTTATATTTTTCTACGTTAAATGAAATTTCTCTATTATATTTTTTTAATATAAATATACGCCAATTATGAACAAGTTTCTGTCTTGATATTTGTATATATTCATTTTCATTTTCAAATCTATTTTATTTTATATAAAACACAAAAGTATAATATTTTAGTGTAATTATGGCGTTTATAACATTATTTTGTTCACACCTTTCTTTATTAATTTTTCAATTTAGCAAAAATAAATATAATTATATTCAAAAAATTAATTAAATTAATTTACTCACCTGTAAAAATTGTGTTACCGTTGAATCAATTATCATTAAAGGCCTTGATATTAAATGTACAACACCATTTTGAACCGGTATATTTGCTTTAACAATTTCAGCAAGTACAACACCTCTTGGGTGTTTTGGATCTGCAGTAATTGTATTTGACTTAACGTACACTAAAATAAAAAATTTAAATGTTACACAAACATAAATTTTGTTGTGTATGATTGAAATGAATGTTTTTCATTTTCATACCAATTTTGTAAAAATATAACAATTATTTTAAAGTATTCTGTTGAAGTAATCTGAACTCATTTTTATTTTGTAACTCTATATTAAATATGGACTTAAGGAACGTCGACTAATCAGTTAGTTAGTATAACAAATATGAAATGAGTATGAAATATAGCAATTTTATTAAAATATTGTTATACTAAATCAGAATTAAGAAATCAAATATATTTCATGAATTTATGAAAATTTAATGGCGATTTTTTTCTTTCATCAAATAAAATCCGCGAACGTAATTATTTAAAATGGGTACTATATGAATTAAAAAACAATAAGGAGATTCTCTTGAAAATGTTTTCATTAAACAGAAATAGCTTTTAACAGTATTACGTATACAAATGTAAAAATTCTACTAAAATATAATTCAAGCACGGAAAAAGCATCAAGCCTGCAAGATTATATTAATAAACAGCTACACTCTAGGAATTATTTTAAAAAGTCAATAAGTTTTAATCACTTTTAAAATGAATTCAACATGAACTTCTGTAACACACCCATTCTGAATAAAATGCTTTTAAATTTTTTTTAGATAAACCGTCTAAGAAGTTATCGTTAAATGAAAAAATAAATCAAATTTTCAACACTACTTTCATTTTATAAAAATAACATGAAGTTTACACGAAAACTCTTTTAGTCATCGAATTTCAAAATAAAAGGATAAAAAAAGTAGATACGCAATTCAAAAATTTCTCATTCAATTTTTAACACAAAAATCCTAGGCGTTAAAACCTACAACAACTTACACTTATTCAAAACCATAATCTTTCATTTTCATGTCTTTTTTGAACTTTACCTCACTTTATTTAAAATGTCGTAACAATAAATTGTATAGGTCACAAAATACATTGCAATTCTATGAATTTTAAATACGCTTAAAAGTTTAACATCAGATGGGTTCAGTTTAATTCAACAGTTTTACCACCACAAAAAAAAATTTTAGTCATGAACAGTTTTTGTAATATACAAATCATTTTTGTTTTTTTTTGCCTACCTGAAAGTCAAGTGCAGTAAAGTTATTGTAAATTGAAGTTTAAACAAAAAAGAACTGTTCCTTTCTGAAATTTTCATATTTTTTTTCATGGTTTTTAATCAAAACTAATGGATCTTTTAAAATGTTGTAGAACTATAGAAACAGACAAACTCATATTAAATAAATTTTTGATTAACAAAATGACAAACGTATGGGATTTGACAGAAATATTAAAGGATTTTCATTTAGTGTGTGAAATTGTTTAAAGCTCTTAAACAAAAAACAAACTAAAAACTTTCCAATCTTGAAAGTAGATAAAATACAATGTGCTGCAAATACCATTGTTATCAACACCAACTTGATATTTGTAAAATTGCAAACAATATAGGTTTGTTCAAGAATTAAATAAACTGTACTATGTCCAAAAATTACTGAACTAAATCCCAATTTAAATAGTTGAACATTATCAAAATCTATAAGAAATTTATCAGTTGTTAAATTTTATATGAAGTTGAAATAGAATTTATGAATAATTCGCATTCAAACAAAATGGAAATGTACTTTAAAATTAAATACGTTTTAAGAGGATTGAAGAAAAATTCTAAAGTTACTAAAAAATTTATACATATTTCATATGAATTCAGCGGGAAAATAAACTACAATGAGTTTGGGACTCGTGAAATTACTAAAATGTTAATTAGTAATTTCACGAGTCCCAAAGCTAACAAAAGTTCCAAAAAATTTTTGACAAAAATTTTTCGTATTGAGAGAAATTAATCTGGCAGGAAAAGAATTGATTTATTAATAAGTTATTACTTATGCCCAATGTTAACTTTGGTATACAGTTTCTTATTTAAAATCAAATCTTATTGAAAATATCCTACATAATGTTCAAAAAAATTTCTATTTAAATCAGATAAAAAATTTCAATTGTTCTAAAGCATTTCATACGTTCACATATTCTTTTGCTTCTTAAGATTAAAGTCTATTGAAAATTGTCAATGCTACGCATAGGATTAAAATTCTCCGATAATGCCATTCTATCATTAACATATTCAACTAAAAGTATTTTAAACCATTATCTTTAATTTAACAGTAAGTTTCTTAAGTATACAAATCTTATACAACTATGTGTTCAGGAAAAATTCTTTGGTTTAAACATAAAAACTGATAATGTCACAAATTTGTCTTTAATGTTTAAAGAATTGTCATATTAAAGCTTTTGTACAATTAGAGAAAGAACTTGGTGTCAAAAGTTTTATGATAAAAGACAATTTAAGGTTTTCCTTTTTTTATCAATTCTCCAAATAATTGAAATAAATGTCGCACCCCTGCGGTAAAAGTGTGGTAAAGCAAAAGTTATTTACCTTTTACAAGTTACTTTTTTGCAAATATTTTCTTCTATACTTTGCACATCGAAAGGACGTTAAAGCACATTTATACCTTGGTTCAAATAAAATTTATTTTTATTCCAGACAAAATTATAGAAAAATATATGAAGATTTGGAATTTTTTAAAATATGCTAAACATAATTTTTGCAGTTTGTACAATATTAAGAAAACTTGAGGATCTAATACGAGAAATATTAAGAAAACTCATGGATCCAAACTCAATATTTTAAGTATTTTTCATAAATTTCAAAAATTGAAATAAAATTTTGTATAACAGTTAGCTGACACAATATTATTAATGTATTAAATTCGAAAATTGTTTTGATTCCAAGTCAAGTAGAAGTACAGTCCAATATTTTTAGCGCTGCGATTTCATCTTTTTACCTATTCTTAAGATTTTATACAAACATAAAACAAATAAATAATGAGAGCGGATGAAAAATTAAAGTAAAATATTTTTTTTACTATGAGAAAGAGAGATTTTTTAGACAAAACGGCTACCAACTGTGCCTTGGAAATATAAGAAGAAAATATTACAAATTTTTCTGGAAGCAACCTTCACATTTATAGTTAATATGACAAAATATAATTTCATACATATAGATTTATTAATGAGTTGCTATTTTAATAAAATTTTGTACTTACTTTTATTACCAGTTTCAAAGAATGTTACAGATACTTTAATATTATCTTCAAAAGCGGCAGTGGTCTGAGGCTGATCTAATGGTGCAGCTGCTGTAAATAGTGGATTATTTAATATAACATGACCATCAATTACTTTATGATCTACAAGAGCGCTTCTGGCTGTCGTCTAGACAATCGAAAAAAAAATTATGTGTTATTCAAATTGATATTGAATTAAGTTACATATTCCCAAATGCATATCGGACAAAAAGAAAGAATAATAAAGAAAAAATGGAAAAAAAAATATTTGTAAGTATATCTGTATAAATTTATGAATTTGTAAATATTTGGTTAATTTACCTTGAATCCTAAATCAATTGGCAAAAAGAAGGTATGCTCCCCAGGTGCATTATAAAGATCTTGTTTTTTCATAAGTTGTACCTGATTCCTATATGACCTATAAATATTCAAATGAAAAAAAACAGAATTTAAATGTGTACGTACGTATGTAAAATCTATTTAGTTAAAGCAGAAATAATAAAGAAAAATTATAAAAATTTTATAGAAACAGAAAATTCTTTCTCACTTGTAGTGTCTTACATATCTTGAGGTTATGGGGAAATTTGAAAATTTTCAAATATAAAATGAAAATTCCAGAAGGATAATTGAAATATCAATTCTCTTTTTTTTTTTTTCTTTTTTTTAAAAATCGATAAGAATTGTTAACCAAAAAGTAAACAGCAAAAATTAGTACTGATCGATTTCAAGGAAATTCAAATTGTGAAAATAAATTTCTAAGTAGACAAGGATACATTTTTTTTTTATAAAGAAAATTTGCCTCTTAAGAAAACCAATACCCACAAGGAAAATTCTAAATAAATTGTTTTTTTTTTTGGTAAAGATTGCCATTTAAAAGGTGTTACAATTGTTGGGGTGAAATAAATTCACGAGAAACTTATTCTTTTAACAAACAAAAACTGAATAAATTTCAATGGATTTCAACATATTAAAATAAAAAATATTGTGAACAATTTATTTATTGTGTTAAGAACAAATTTTTAATTTTGCTGCTGACAAGAGGTTCGAACTCAAGTTGTATAATAGTTGCAAAAACTGTGATAAAATTTCGTTGCAGCTGTAGTGTTTAAAACTCCAACCAACAAAATATTTTAAAATGAGAAAGAAAATAAACCAAAGCGTAACTGTTAAAGCACAGTCATCCACACTTATTTCATAATTCAATTTTTTAAACTATTCTTGTAGGATTTTTTAATCCGATTTGCTTTATCTTATTAATAAGTGGTGAAATTTGGAATTAAACATTCTCATTTCTTAATTTTGTTCTGATAAGGCAGTTTAATTATTAAAATTTGATGTTAAATTTATGAAAATAATTATTAGTTTCACTAAGATGCAACACCCTGAAAATTCCTGGTTTATATTCCAATGAACTTAACGGAAGGAAAATTGAAAAAAAAAATGATAAAAAATAAATTGAAGCAAGGACTTTTATCAAATACAATGTCCTTTCGTCTTTCTTTTGTTTCTTTTCATAAAAAGGTTAATGAACTGAACGGAAGGATAATTTTTTTCAGCGATTTCATTAGTAAATGTTAAAACATTAAATGGGTAAAATTGTGTAAAGGTTTCTAAATAAATTGAAAGACCTAAACAAAACCAAACCAAATTTGTGTTAAAAAATCTTTTAATTAACACAAACCTGAAATTCAATATAGTTGTTCGCCTATTATATCTTCAAAATTGTTACAATTTTTTTTTATATTCTTTTTAAGAATTCAACAGTTCAAGAAGTTTCAGCAGTTTGCAATTAAAAACTAGAATCTCTTCAAAATTTCAGGGCTCAAAATGAATTTGGTACAAAAAAATAATTTCCACATCACATAAATTTTAAACTTACCTTAATTTGAAATTTCCAATATTAAATGATTCATAAAAATTTAATAATTGAAAAGCGCTTGGATTTACAGGAACATGAATATTTTGTGGACCGTTTTGTGTTAATGGCTCTAGAACTTGATCAATTACATAAATGACCTATAAATTTAAATAATTTAATGATTTTTTTCTTTCTATATAATTACACATTATTTAATTTATTCTAAAGATCTTTTACCTGTTTTTTGTCCAAATGATTTTTAAATTCTAATGTGCGAGATGGTACTACACGGGCATTATTAACAAATGTTTCACCTTGCCTGGTCTGTTTAATATAAAGTGGTAAATTACCATCAACATCTGATGAAATTGCCATAGATTTAAGTTGATCGCTTGCTATCGCTGATGTTGCTATAATATGGAAAAGTTAAAGTTGACTTTTAAATGCTGTTATAAGTAACTTTTAAAAATAATATTGAAATTTTTTAAGCATTCATCCATTTTTGTACAGTTTTTTTCATATTCGCTCAAATTGTTGTCATATATAAATATAAACAAAAAAAAGTCTCTTTACTAAATTTTTTAAAGTTCTTCCTTAATAAAATTCAATTACATTAGCGTCATGCCTGTTCGCCACAGAAATCCTATTAGGTTTCAAAAACAGGTTTCCCAAAATTTGTTCAGACAAAGGTTTCAGATGATGCAGATTTTATTGCACGTGTTTTATCAGAACTATATACCAAAATTCGATTTAAGTTTAGAAGTTAAAGAAAATACAATTTTGAAGGCTCATGTGATTTCCGTATTAAAAAATTTACATACTTTGTTTCATTTACAAGTTTTTACTTCTCTATTGCAATTTATGGAACAAGTTATTTTGAACTATAATCGTAGTTTAACACGATTACAAATTTTTTTACACTCTCTTCAAAGAGACTTAAATAAAACTTTAATAACATTTTTATACATTTTGTCGCCTCCTACATCTTTTTAAAACTTTTCAGGGATAATAATCGTAAAGTACATAAAAACTTTATGTCATCAGCGTGTCAGCAAAACAGCAAAAATATTTTTTATGTTAAAAAATTTTTTCAAGTATAATAGTAAAGAATTCATAGTAAAATAAAAAAAAAATAAAAAATCGTCAAAATTTGCTGATTTTTATGTTATGAAACTTAAAGATTAAAAAACAAAATGAAATCTACTTATAATAATAAAAAAAATTTTCACTTTTCTTTTTCACATTTTCTCATTGCACATTCAAAATTTTATTAAACTTACCAATATGATATAAAACTAGATTTTCCGATAATTCTCCTTCGTATTTTGAAAAGGCTTCATTTGTTGGTATAAATAATGTTACACGCCTAAATGTGACTGTTGCATTCGCTACCTCATACTTTTCCAATAATGAATAAAACTGTAAAAATATAAAAAAAAAATTATTTTAAACAGAAAGAAAAATCTCGGGAATGTATAAGAAAAAAATATTGATTGAAAATACATAAAAATTATTTTAGTACGTTTGGATATAGCCATCACAGATCGTATAAATTTACATTGACCTCATAAGTAAAAACAGTGCATAAATCACAGAAACAAACATAAAAAAATTAAAATCAATAAATTTTCCAAAAAAAGAAAAATAAATAATCAAAAGTAAGAATGTAATAAAAAATTTAAATTTAAAATTCCATTTAAGGATTCAAAAAAAAAAATGGAATTTTTTTAGAATTTCAACCCTGAGTCAACTGTAAATAACAACAAATCTTTGATTTTTTATTCAAGACTTCCTTTTTTTCTCAAATTGAATAAGAATTTGAAGTATTCTTAAAAAAATATTCTTTCCTTCTTCTTGTGTCTTGAATTGACTTAAAAATGAAATGATCAACATTTTATTGGAATTTCAACCGGATTTCAAACAGAGAACTTTCAATTCAATTCTACAAAATCACAGAAAAAATCCAGTAAATCTTAAATAAAAAAAAAAGATTAGTTGTTATCTGTCAAATGGTCTGGAAAAAAATTGAACTAAAGAAAACTTGACCCACATAAAGTATAACAATATTTTATTTTTCACAAAATTCTTTTTCTCTTATACAAAGAAGCCATACTTTTAAATAAAATCAAAATAGGTATACAATATTAAATTTTTAAAATAATGTGGGGCACTCTTTATACCTCTGTAATTTTTACGCATTCTCAATAAAAACAAAAATACATACAAAACAAAAATAGCAATAAACTCAAAATTGACGTATGGCAACAATAAACGGAACAATTCAAAGAATAGCAAATATTTTTTACATTATCTATATTTAATATACCGTATACACATGAATGTGTCGACCTTCTTATGACTTTAAAAGGAAGAACACATTTACGATTTGTTTAAATATTTGTAGAATGCATAAAATAAGAAAAAAACATTGTATTCCATAAGGAACACTCCACTTTCTATAAAAATCAGTCAGTCTTCTTTTTTACATACTTGCAATTTAATTTCAGACATCAATCGATTCACATCACTTAATTTTGTTGTTATAAATTTCCAGTTCTTTTCTGAGAAAATATGATGGCGGGAATTTAAGAAAAAAAATTACAATAACAAAAAATTTTTAATTGGATTTATGGAACCATCAATATTTCATTTCCAGATTTTTAATGATTACCTAAACGTTTAAGCAATTTAAGGGTGTAATCATTTAATTTTGCCCTGGGTAATCAAAAATCATAAACTATTCAAACACAACTTACTTCAGAGCTCATTCAATTTTAAAAGTCTTCAATTTAAGAACGGCTTTCACTTTAATATAAGTAGTGTGTCTGATGATATTAAAATTTAAAAAATTAATTTCTATAGTCGTTTGCAACTTATTCTAATTTAAAAAATTTCAAGAACTCGTACAACCTATAAATTCTAAAATTCAGATAACTTTGTAGTTGCAAATTAAGAAAAATCGCGTTCAAATTCAATTTTTATCTTATTAATATTGTAACAATCTTCAAATAAATTTTTGGGCTACCAATTCAACATTACCGACTATAATTTTAAAGTCATAGCTACGCCGTTGTTACGAAATTTTCTTCATTTCCTACATTCAACTCCTTTACTTTGTTCAAATTTTCAAAAATTGTAATGTTCTTTTATTTGCCTTAACAATTTCTCTTTTATTTAAAATAATTAATTTTCATTTCAAGATTTAAAAAAAAAAAAGGTGAAGAAACAAAAAGAAAAACATTAAAGGTAATAAAGTGAAAATTACTTTTCTTTTAAAAATTTATTAAAGTTTACCTTTTTTGGAGGGTAGTTACCTTTTTTCATTTTCATTTTTATGTTTTTCTTTTTCTTTCTTTCTTTTCAATTATACCCAAACAAAAGATTTTTGGGGTATAAATTTAAGAAAGGTCGAAAACAAAAAACATAATAATAAAAATGTTAAAAATAATTTTTTAATCACTTGAATAAATTGTTTAGTTTTCAAGTTTATTATGTAATTGCGAACCAGGATATTTATATTTTTCCAAGTAAACATGGGGATGGGGATACAAAGACTTAGTACACATTATGTATGCATGTATTTAGGTGTATATTAAACATACAATTTAACGGATATTATTGTTTTATGAACCTTAGAATATGGTCAACAATAAGATTTTTTAAATTAAAAAATGTTCAATTTTCGAAATAAATTGACTGAAATGGATTTAGAAAAAATTTCTAATTATCAAAATATGTTTTAGGGAATAAATTACGTGTGCATGTGCCATGTGTAGATTTATTTTAGAGAAAAATCCATGTACAGTTCACCCGTACAAACAAAATATTTTGTAATTTTCTACACCGAATAAATCAATAGAATCCAGTAATATTTTAGAAAATTTTAATTTGCATGCAACGCAACATTGTACTTAAAAATTATATTTGTAATGCTGAAGACGCTCAATTTTATTTCTGATACTCTCCAAGATTTTAAATAATTCAATTTGATGTTGGTTGCGTCTGTTCTAGGTGATCTCCAATAAAGATCCTTGTAAAACGGAAAAATAATTCAGTGTTTTGTTTGTTTCTGGTTATTCTGTTAATTTTGGAAGTATTTGCGTATATGCCGCCTACCAACTTTCACTAATAATTACGTACATTACTTTGCATGTCCTGCATTTGTATGTTTTAAATTTCCAATATATTAAAAACAAGTACTATTCGAAAATTTTGACAACTGATTTTAGTTTTAATAAAGAATATATACATACATAAGTATTTACATATTAAATTATTAGATTAATTCGGAGCTAGACTAGAGAAAACTTTCTGAAGTATAATAAACCTAAGTACATTCGTATCGAGGAATAATAGGAATATACGTTCATATCAAGTTTAATAAATTCCACAACATTGCTGATAATCTTATCAAATTAAAATACGTTTTTGTATATAACCGTTCTCCTTAACCTAAACGTTTTCCCCAATTCCCTAAAATATTAATTTTTAAAAAAAAACTTTTAACAAATATTTTGACCTTAACTAATTTATTTTACCAAATCCTTACTGGGCGCACACACGTTTATATATACATGCATACATGCGTTTAATATTGAATTAGCGCTACAGTGGAATATTTAAACTGGATAAAGAACAACATGTGAGGGTTCCCTAACAAAAATACACACTGTTTCCGTGTGACAAATTTGAAAATTATTTTTTATGTAAATTTTAAATTTGAAAACTTTTCTAATTTCCATATACGAAACGAGTATAATATGACGTAAAATGTATAATTAATTTATTCAAGTGCATAATAATTAAGATATCACAGATTTTAATCTTCATCTTAAAATTACCTTTTCTAATTCTTATTCCAAGAAAAAAAAAAAACTATCAAAAAAAATTTTAACTTGAAAATATTAGTTAAATGAATGGGGCACTGACATAATCACTCTAGAATAGAAATAACAGGTGGTATTTTGTTTAACCTTTGTCTAAATATACATGAATTGCATTCAGGTATAACCCAGGTGAATTATAATTCAAATTTTCTTTTCTATTTTTTGTCATTTAATATCAAAACAATTTCATGTTAGAATAAATTAGAAAAAAAAATAAAGTATATTTTTAGGTTTTTTAATGTCTAGTCATTGTGGCGTCAAAATGCTTTCAATTAAAAATTCAAATGCAATTTTACAAATAATATAAAAATAAAGGGCGCATAATCCTAGCATAATATTATGATAATTATTATAATTGGATTGAAGAAGTAGATACGCGACAACGCATTATTATAAAAAAAAAAAAATAAACCCTCATAGGAGTTAATTTGTAATATTTGTAAAAATCTTCTAAACTTATAAAAATTATAGGTTATAGGTATAAGAAATTTTTGAATATAAATATATGTTACACATAGCTAACATACATTTAAATATTATGAATAAATTTAAAGTTTCAAGTGATTCGTAACCTTGATTTTCCTAGAATTCCGAAAAATATTTGCTTTTTTTTTAGAATCTATCAATTGTTTATCTATAGAACTTTCATATAAAATATCGTTGGGTTCAATAAATAAAATTGTATACTTTTAGGGGTTTTCAAAACCACAGTTGCTCTACATATGAATAAGCAGGAATTCTGTAGTGGTAGAATAACACCTTGGTCTCTTAGAACTCTATTATACAGAATAAACAGAATTTTACCATCGTATTTATCTTACATACATAATAAATAAAACATATGAAATCTATTCTTACAATTTAATATTCTGAGCTGAAGTCATTGATTTATCTAAAAAAAGTACAATATTTTTGCTTTTCAGCATAAACTACTAAAATTTTGAAACATTTTTAGCATTTTTCCAAAAAAAATTAGAAAAAGTCCTTATTATATTCACTCTGTCCATCGTAGACCCGTTTACAAAACTTCCACACCCTTTGAGATAGACAACTGAAATTTTACGTATAAATACATTTAAATTAGATTAATTTATTTCCGAAGAAGAAACTTTTTGTCAAAGTTAGAGCCGCATTTTTGGCAATTTATTGTAATTAAATCACAAATATTTCTTAAATTTTGCAAAGCAGATTAACGGTGATCTAAAACACTTTACTTTTTTCAAATTTTTGGTGTCATTTTTCTACTAAGTTGTATAAATTCCTCTCAACTTATCTACTTTCCCTCTCAAGCTATATCTCAGCATTCCCTCTCAAGTTATCCCCTTTAAAAAAAAGTAACGATAAATAGCATGCCATCAAAAACTATAAATTTTTTTTTGAAAACCGTCCAATTCAACTATTATGTTGAAATTTCTTTATAATTTTTTCTTTTGCTCATCCTAAATGTATGCAATAAGTCGATATATTTTGGTATAGAATAAGAGTAATTTAAATAATGTACGACCATTTTTAAAAACTGTAATTTCACAGGGA